TCCTCCGTGGCCAACAATATCACTTGTTCAGTTCCAGAGGACAAAGAAGTTTAACCGATCTCGTGCGTTCCGTACCGTCTTCTAGTTTGACTTTGCATGCTTTGACGTGCCCATCATTACCCTTTAAGATTTCAACAACTCTAGCTAACTTTCAAAACTTAACAGCCACTTTGTTATCTCTAATTATGACAATGGCACCATACTTTCGTAGCTGTGGGACATGCTGCACGCGCTTCTTAATGTCAGTACGTATTCATTATGCCAACGCTGCCAAAAGTTATTCAGTTTTTGTTGTCTACGTCTCCAGGCACGCATCTCTGTGCGGCCTCCCGAGTTATCGCTAACTTGTGCTTGCGGAACGGCCGTGAGGCGTTTACCTGACAAAATTGTGAAGAAGCCAGTACTTCTGCTTCGGCAGTATCATCAGAAGTGTTTGTCAGTGACCTAGAATTTATCACTGCCTCGACTTCTTTTAGTAAAGTGTCAAGCTGCTTGAAGCTGAAGCATCCTTTTCCTAGAGTTTTCTGAGGCAGTTTTTAACCGTTCGAATCATTCGCTCCCAAAAGCCTCTCTACCATGAAGCGCGCTCAGCATTGAATTTCTAGGTGATATTACTTGATGCGCAAAAGTATTGTACCTGCTCATCACGTAGAAGTCCATACGACGCCTTAAGTTTGCGATTGACTGCTTTAAACATTAAAGCACTATCAGAATAAATGACACTTGATAAGCAATGACGTGAAATAAAACGACAAAAAGCCAATAAAAAAGAATTCACAGTCGTGTCACTGACAAGTTCTAAGTCAACTGCTACTACTACAGCACAGGTAAACAGCACAGTAAATGTTTTCACCGAATTGCCTCCCTTTACAAAAACTGGACCAGCAAAGTCTACGCCCGTGACTTCAAATGGGTGACACTTCGAGACTGTCGATAACAAGCGGGGACACAGGAGCTGAAGTGGTTTTTAATGGAACCCGAGCACACACATTGCACTGGCCAAGAATATTTAAGACATTATTGACCACGCATAAATCAAACCTCATCACTCAACGCTGTGAGTGCAACACCGACACCACTGTGCAGAAGACGTCGATGTTCGCTGTCTACGGAGAAGTGTGTGCAATGATGATCTGTGGGTAACACTATGGGGCCTTTCACATTTTCCGACGCATCAACGTTGTCTAGGCGAGACTTGATCCTGATGATGCCCTTGTTATCCACGAAAGAGTGAAGGTCTCGTATGGCTGACGACTTGTCGAGAGCTTTGTTCGTAGTTAGGGCCACAATTTCATTTTCAAAGCTTTGTGCTTGCAAAGTGCTTATCCACCTTTCTTCGCTTTCAGCAATTTCTGAGCCAATAGAGGTCCTTCTCTTCTCTTATTAAAATTTGCTTGGCAGTTGTGAAGGAGCCCCTTCACCCAAACCGTGATTCGAATGACCTTCTTCCAGCGCCTTTGTTTAGTGTCCTCAAATAGAGAGTCCAGCGTCCTGTTCTGTGCGACTAGAACCACGTTGTCTGTGGGGTTTTTTTTTTTCCTCAAGTAACGTTTTAGCTTAGCTTTCGAAGTTCTCATCTTGTTTCGCTCATGTTTCTTGAGGCATAATTAGCCATTCGAGTGTAAGCCACCATAGTGAGTTCGTGCTAAGGCACTGGGCTGACACTACTCTTTTTAGAAAATCAGCTGGGGTGACTTTCCCTCCGCAGTGAACCCAGCGGCTAGGATCAATGCGTTCTTGAATTTCTATCTCCCCGCTGTAAACAAACGTTTTACACTTGGTGCGTGACGACCGAATGAAGCATAGGCAGATGTTAGAATCAGTGCAGCTAAAGTATTCGTCGCATTTCTGTAGCATCTCACGTAGAAAGGTTACTATCCGCGCATCCAGGCAAGCCCCGAGGAGTTCAAGACGTGGTAACATCGATCTTTTGATAGGAGCGACCCGAGTTTTCGCGAGCAGCTGTTGGACATAGATGCTTTCTGATTCATCTTCATCCCTTAAGTATGCAACGACACCGTATGCCTGCGCACTTGCGTCAGAGAAGACACGAAGCTAAATGTGAGCTTCGTCCGCGTTGACTTTTAGGGGCGCAGCTCCTTATGGCGTGGCTAGTGCGTCCCTCGTAGTACGAAACCACCAGTGACACATACCCGAAATAGCGGTCCTTACGATTTTGACCTCCAAGGTGGTTCCGGTGAGAGATTTCTTCTGTGCGTTGTTGAACAATAAAAGATAGTGCTCAATGCACATGTTAATGGCTGCTAAGGGGGAATGAGAGACAGGAGCACTCGGCCTTTAGGTAACGTGCACGCTGCGATCCCCATTAGCAGCTATTGGCATGTACATTGAGCACGATCTGACAAGAAAGGGTTGATACGTTATACTCGCTGGGTGTAACCTCCTTGGTTTTAGAAAGGTTCAGCAAGCGTTGGACCGCATGGCCATGAATACAGTGAACTAGTATATACCATGAACTCGAGGTGGTTAAAGGTGGGAAGTAAACCCGAAGCGCTAGCCGTAAGAAAGTGTGCTTGTGCCACCTCCCGTTTAGTCCTTGAAATGTCCGCTGGATGGCGGTGCTTCTATATGAAAAATATATGATGAAAAGATGCGAGATGGTGGTACTTGGAGTGCTGAATAGATGGACGAACGGACACACAGACAGATGCATTGATGGACGCATGAACGGACGCAGGCGCGGATGCCTGGACGAACGCAGGGACGGACGCACGAACAGACGCACGCACGGACGGGTGGATGGACGCATGGGCGGTTACACAGATGTACGCAGGAACGGACGGAAGCAAGAACGAATGGACGGACGAATATTTCGCCCACTCCCCATCATTCACTCCGTGGATATGCTGCCATTTTTTTTTCAGTGAACTCCTCTTCAAGCTTGAATCTCTTATGCCTTCAACTTCTGACGTAAACATCATCAACTCATCTTCGAAAGCCTTAGGAAGTGGCACGTCCCAATTTATTCCTTGCTTCCGAATTTCTTGAAACAAGATCTTAGCTCTGATGGTGAATGAAGACAAAACTCCCAACGGGTCGAAAATTGTCGATGTAGCTTGGATGTAGCGACAATTTTCGACCCGTTGGGATTTTGTCCGCTTTGTGGATTTTCCGTTCTTGGCCTGCAAGGGACTCTTATCGGCGTGCCCCGCCGACGCGGTCCGCGTCCTGCAGGAACGCAAGAGGTGTCTGTGTAACGCGCATCAGCGTCGCTGGGACACACAGCCAGCGTTGTCTGCTGCAATGCTTTCACAATGGCGGCAGCCTGTAGTTCGCGTCCGCGGCGCAAGGGGCACCCTTTTTGAGAAGGGTCTATATACAGGTGCTTTCTGGCCTCACACACCTTCCTAGCAGGATTATTCGGTCAATAAATAGACAAATAAACATTGTATGTAAATATAGTAATAAATTAACAAATTATTCACACTAACAAAGTGCTCATGTCACTTTGCGTGTACTATTTCGGGCCAGTTACCAGACTGTCATAACTGCTAACAAAAATTGGGGGACCCTTAAGCTTCGCCTTTAGGAGTTGAACGCAATAGCGAAATCCGACTCCTAGTGCACCCTTCAACTGCTGAGTGCGCAATTATTCATATGTTTGCTACATACAAATGCACGCACGCAAACACGTACGCAGTAGATTGGACCAGCGCGCTCTATTATCGCCAAATGGGCTCATTTTCGTCGTGACACCTGTCAGACAAAAAATGTTAAAGGGGCCCTGAAACACTTTTTCAAGTAACCATGGAATTAATTTACTGGAAAAGCTTATTGCCTCACGAATTCAACGCTGCGAAAGTTTTAAGTATCCGTCCAGTGCGAGTGGAGTTACAAAGGTTTGTCGCATGCTGCAATTGCATTATCTCTTCTCTCGTCCCGCCGAAAGCGCTGGGAGCTAAGCAGGGAGGTGTGGAAGGGCAAAGAAACTACCGCGCCTCGTGACCTTGGGCACTTTTTTCTTAGAATGGGCGGCTTTCCAGTGTGACTGCGCACGCACGCTTGGACAAGTAGCTGTCTCCCGTGGCTATCTCGGTAACTTGACTTTTCGGTCACAGACGATTTTTGGCTCACAACCAACGAAGCCGGCGCCGGCGGTGGGTTTTCTGTGACACGAGCTCTTTAAGGCTATCGCGTTAAATTTTTTACTCTTGTCGTAATCGAATGTGTTTGAGGAAATTGAGGTACAGAGTAAGCGGCAAGTCATTCGACGGCGCTTGTATGCATTACAGTGATGACTGCGCTGGTTATTTACTGATGTCAGTTGTTTACTACTGACATTAACTGTATTAACTGACATTAACTGACATTAACTGACAATAACTGTAAACATTCATAGAGAAAAAGATAGGCGGCGTTGATTCTCGTGCGCGCATGTGCATTCTGAGGGGCAGCCATTTGCTAAACTATCCTACAATTATTCTGTAAATTGCTAAAAATTGCATGGATACCCTTATTACAACCTATTTTACGCTATCAAAAAGTTTCATCCTGGGTTTCACCCACTAAGCTATTCTATTTCAAGGCTATTTCAATATAATTTATTTTTGTTTAAATGCCGCTTCTTCGAAAAATAGCTTGAGTCAACCTAAACGAAAAGAGACGTGCTAAAAGTTTCATTGGTAACAGTATGAACCATGCTGTGATAAACTGTGTCGTTTAGGAAAACCAGTAACGTGGTGCGCGTTTTTCTACCTGCACTGATAGATAGGCAATGCATAAAACTTTTTCCTGAAGCATTTTAGCTTTTTTGTATGCAGTGCTAATGTTGTACGGTTTTTTTTACCTCTAGCTGTCTTGCGAAGCTTCAGTCAATATCGTCATATTTATATGACACCGAAAAACCGCTTACATCAACTTAACTGTCTCATGCACTTGTCAATGTGTTTTTACTGACAGTAATGAGAATTATAAGGGCCAGAGGCTGAATTCCACCAAGTTTTTTGTGCTAGCGCGTGCCACTGCTTTATTAACCGCAGGAAGCAGAAAAGCCTGGAGTCATACCAATGTCAGGTGACGTGCCTTGTCCGGCTGAGACATGAGGTGCTACGCTTGCATGGCTTGGTGAGTGCCTCGAGCAATGTCTCTTAACATCCCTCAAATTGTTTTTTTTTTTGTCGTATAAAGAAACCGACTTTACACAGATCCCTGGGAACTGTCCGCAGAGCTTGCTGAACGGTAATGTTAGGCGTGGTCACTATTCAAGGCATACTAGAGAAACATGATTTTCGGTTGAAGTCGAATTGAACGATTTGCCTAGAAAAACCTGGTTGTAATGAGATTCATCTAATTTAAAATGAACGTGAAAGGTAGGCAATAATCAATGAAAGTAAATCAAAAGGCAAGCGACAGAGAGACATCAGAATGCGATGGCATAGGTGATCAAGCATTGATTTGCGATTACAAAGAAAACATGGTGTTGTACAGAGGATGTGGCGTGTCGAAGTTACAGCCACTGGCTTGCTGTGATATCGCAAATGTTAACACGAGTGTATGTGTGGATAAATCATATCAGAGAAGTGTAATTAAGCTATCCAACTCCTTGGTTTCAACAAGAGTTAAAATGAGGGCAATTCTTCAGCATTTTAAAAAAGCACCTCAAGACACCACTGCTGTGAATAACAAGAGATGATTATCATATGGTGGTTTTGGGACGTTAAACCCTACATATCAATCAACTAGACACGATTGCGCAAAGAGCAGTGGCATTCTGCTGAAGTAGCTCATCGAGGTGTATGCCAAAACTTTGGTATAAGTTCTCCTGAAATGAAGAAGAGTTGCTGAACTATTTAGCTTTATCTGAGAAAAGTAAGCACTTACTTTGTTTATATGCAACTAATGTTGCACGTTGCGCGACCATAGTTTTGTAGGTAGAGTAGTTGCTTTGGCGTCCACGTTTATGGACTCTGGGCCACCAAAATTCTTGTGACAAGTCAATAAAATGTTGCATGGCAGCAGAACCAGTGCTTCACTGACTTGCGGCTCTATGCAACAAGTTATGTAAAAATAAGCTTAAGCACGCGTTTTAGACGTTGTGTTTGATGGGTTTTTTTTTTTTGCTTCATCGAACACGCTGACTGTAGTAATTTGGACATATATGCCATAATTTTGGAGTTGCGAAGCAGAAGCGAATGCTCTCTTGAGAAATCAGCTTGCAAAAGGCATCATGGACAATGCTGCTGATAATATCAAAAATATTAAAGATTATTCAATTCGTGCAAAAAGCTGTGGGTGTTCACAAAGGTGATCAACGAACATAATGTTGGTGATATGGACGTTGAAGGCAAGCAGAGCTGCAAAAATAACCTATGCAAGAAAGTTCACTTTTACAGCTGGATTTGGCATGGAATACAAAGGCGCAATGACTAGAAATGACACTATGTGCTGCTAAATGCGTAATGAATGTAAAGGCAGCCCACTAACGATGAAGTCTACGCACAGGCGTCGTGGTCTCTGAAAACTGGGTTTACATAAACTGATAGAGGTCTTCATACTACAGTGAACGCGAGCGGGCTACCCACGTAAGAGTATTTACTTGAACCAGTGCTCTTCAGAAAAAAAAACATGTTTACAAAAGTCGCAGAAGCATAGGCACCTAATAACAACAACAATAATGCTTGGAAATTGTTATTTCGATATGAATGTTTGTGTGTCGGGTCGCAATTTTATTGCACCGAGTAAGAAAAGCGGGAAAGACGAATGAATGGAAGACACAACAATCTGTTTTCTGCCTCCACTTATCGGTTACGGATTCGTGGCTGATTTTCAATATGAGTTAACAAAGAGTACTCCATTGATTCAGCGATTCGCAAATATTCATGAAGTGATAACGTAGAGTAAGCGGCGTTTGCACAGGATTCCTCTACTTCTCACACATGGTAAGCAATATTCTACGTGTGCTTTCAGCTGCAGAAGCAGGAGCATGCAATGCAGGCCTTACGGAAAGAAAACTGCAGACTTCAGTCCAGACTTTCCCGAGGCAAGTGACTGTTTTACGATGTAAGCTTGAAAACAAAAACTAAAATAAGACAAAGAAAGATGGCCGAACGATACCGGAAAAGCACTAAGTTTGATCGAAACTAAAACTTTGCTTTTGCAATCGACAGTGCGAGAATTGAAGAATTGTGCAACATTAGAGAAAATAAAAACGAGCAAGCGGCAATTATCAGTTAAAAGTAATTGGCCACGACGACCACACATTCTTTCAGGAATCGCATCAAGTGTTGTAACGTGCTCGTTAAAGAACACCAAGTGACCGAAAATCGGCAGCCCTCCATTGCGGCGTCTCAAATGACTTGCTGATAGAGGTGAAATATGAAATTTCTGACCTGTGTCTTAAATGCATCGTGTGGGCCCGCGTTTGTTGCTATGCAAATATAAACGAACTGCTTCAGCTTAACGGTGACCTTCACGAGCCCACTTTTGCTTCTGCCAGTTAATCCTGTAAGTAAGGTGTACCTCAGCACGAAGGTTTTATTCTCGTCTGTGGAAGCAAATATTGCGCTAAGCAACTGCAAATAGTCTGAGCTTTAAAATTGGTAAACATTGTCTAACATGAAATACTTAGTGAATAATGATGACAATCTTTTTGAACAAAGTTTGCTTGAGCACGTCATGAAAACTAGTCACATATCTTAGAAGTAACGATGTACGCTCATTGTTCCTTTTCAGTCGAGAAAAAGTCTGCACGATCACTCATCGAGACCTTAGAGAAGGAAGCGGCCGACTTCGAGCGGCTCTGCAACCTGGGACAGCAGCTCCAGCAACCAGCAGGCCCAAACGCTTTGCTGGAGTCACGGGCGAAGCTGCGCGCCGCATTTCACTGACTGAATGATTGCAAAATTATTTTTGAAAACAGAATGAATAAGGAGGCCACAGGATCCTCTGAAGATCAATGTCGTTGCATGTGTCACACAAGCCACGCCAGAACAACATATTTTTGTGTAGCTGTAGTTTTTATTAACTACATGTTTATTCCACACCCGCGTCGTTGAACGTCCCCATCAGGATCCAAGCCTCAGCGCGGTAAAATGTATTGCGCTCATGATGATTCATTTTGAATGCTTTTAAAATTCTTCAATATACAGGACACATTGGTACAAATGTAAGCGGCTGCTTGTGGCTTTTATATTTCGTCTGCCTCAAAGGATATTCGGAATGTGGCGAGGTGGGCAGTGATGTCAGTTGATTATGACTCGTACAGCGTCTGACTGATTCACAAATTAATCCACGCGCTGTGTTCTGCGTAACCAACAGTTCAGTTTAAGGCGCATGCGTTAAACTGTTAAAAATTGGGGTAAACATGATCTTCACATTTTGCTTTATCCTTTCTAAAAGAAAAGTCAGCGCCACTGGGTCCCTTTTTCTATCTTCACGCCTCATCACAGTGTCGCACTGGATACTCCAACGTTGGGCTGGCATCGCATACTTGCAGGTTAAAGTTACTGAAGCGCAGCACAGCTCCAGACGAATGAAAAATTACACCATCTCCCACTAAAGAAAACCATCAATAGCAAGCAAAGCAGCGCATGACTCTACATGAAGTTCCGTTCATAACGGGCACCTTCCCCGATGTGAACGCCTCCTTGCATAGCACACCATGAATTTACTCTAATTTCTGTTGCTCTTACTTGTATCGGATTCATGTTGAAGCACGCCTCTCGGGTTCAACGCCAAGCCACGCGGGAGTGTGTGGGTTCGTCTCGCGTCTGCAGAATCTCGTTCTCCGACGCCATCTTGTGAATGCTGAGAGAGCATAAAGGGCAGGGACCACAGCCTCTAACTCCGCCACTTACGCAGGCCCGCTCGCGCTAGCGCGTGCCAGTACGTTCTGCCTAGCAATCAACGCGTTGATTCATCACGCGTATGTAGAATTTCACTGCCCGATGGCATCACGTGATTGTTGATTGTAAAGGGGAGAAGCCACAGCGTCTTACCCAGCCCCTCATACAGGCCGGAACGCGCTAGCATGTAAGTGCGTTTCGGCAGTGCTTGAGGCAGCTGTTGCGCATGCGCAACACGCCGCGCACGAAGTTGAACTTTGCAATAGGCTGCTTCGCATCTAAAACGTAATGCCACCTGCCGTACATATGTATGTGACTGAAGAAATGGATACAAAACGGTGAAATGGCGGAAGAAAGCAGCATCTGAAATTACTTTCGCCTCCATAGTTATTTTTCAGCGAAATAAAAACGTCACTAACTCGCCTTTTGATAAAATATGGCGCACTCCCCTTCGTTCCAACCAATCCACACTCTGATACTAGCCAATTTTCTTTTCTGGTGAGTGGAGATGTAACAAGGTATTTGACTGGGCTAGTTGGTGACGATTCATAATAGCTCACAGCGCACTCGAGGACAAGCGCTTCTCTTCGCATGCCTCGTTTTGAGCTACAACGAGTAGAGAAAACACATACAGGTAGTATGGCGTTACTTGAGGAACGTTTACACGCACCATGGGAATTGAGCGTTTTTATTGAAATTTTAGAAGTGATTTAGTGCCACTTGTTTTCTTAACCCACCATCACGGTACATGTGAGCGAGATGTGATAGAAAAGTGATGCTATGTGGTACTTGACACATTCATGTAGCTATATGTGACTATCCTGGTGGTCGAGCAGAAATATATTTCAGGGTAACAACACCCTGTTGGCTGGGTTATGCAGAAAAACAGACAATAAAACGTACTGGTGCGTAGAATCGTTCCGCGTTACAGTAAAGTGCAGGCTCTTAATAGCCTTTATCTGCGCTGAATTTAAGAAATGCCTAGCAGTGTTGAACAGATAAACAAATAGTAATTAAGATGCAAAAGCAATAAACGGATTTGTTAGCAGTGTAGGCAGTGTGCAAAATAAGCACATGGTTTCTGTAAGCTACATACATAGTTTCTTTTAGTGTATTCATGCAACATGAGTACATCGTTGTTATTATGTGGACTATACTTGCTTAGCAACGTTAATAAAGTAGGAGTTTGTGAAATCTCAAAATCTAGTGACCTGCAGCTCCTCTTTCTGCGGCATGTGTTCTTGCGAGCTGTGTTTGTGAAACCTGTCAGACATTGTACAAAGGTTTTCATGCAACCATTACAATTCCACTACCTTAGCTGCTTACACGCGAAAGCTCTACTGTTTCAGAATATTTTTAAAAAATCAAGCTACAAGCTACGTTCATTTGCAGTCAAGTAAATACCTTAGTGTGAGACTGAAAAATGGCACTTTTTCATTCAGATATTGCGTACATTCTGTAAAAGAGCTTCCTGTGAAGCTTTTCCAGGTATTCATGTTATTCGTTAACGCCCCTTTGAGTGCTTTGCTCACTTATGACATGTTCAAGCTTCTCCAGATGGGGATTAAGAAACCGTCAGCAAAAATAGTGTCGCTGTACTACTAGAAAGATATTTCACAACAATGTTAAACGCATAGACTCGGGGAAAAAAATGCGGGATGAAAGAAGTCACAGCTTTAATTGCCGTAAAGGCGAAGCAATGACCGCGATAGCAAGAAATTTGAATAACACGCGGAGAATGACAAGTAGATCAAAACGTGCCCCGTGTTGCTCACGCACAAACGACACATGAAACGTACTCACAGGTACAGACGAACGAGATTAAGCGTCTCAGTTGTTATTTCGCTATGTTTGAAAAGCGTGCCCTTTTCGCAAACGGAGACTTTGCAGTCAGTGCAGTGACCTTTGTGCGCCCGGTAACTACAACACATAGAGCTTCATACAATAATACCTAGAGAGTAATTTGGCGCTGCTATCACGTAGCTTCATGCAAATAATGGGAAGTACAGGCTTCGGATTGAATAGGGTTAGCTAGCGAGCTGTGTACAGGCTTCTTTTTACAGTTTCATTCTTTGCGAAGCGCGAGTAGTGGGATGTGGTAAAAAGCACTGAATCAGCGCATTTGTTGTTCAGAGGCTGAATACCACTAGGTCTGAAGTTTGCTGTGACGTTGGAGCTCTACGAGTCGTATTTGACATATTAATCCAATCCTCGGTGCGCATAGATGTACAGCGTACGTCTCATGCCAGTGCAAAATATTGCATCGAGTTCATACTTCTTCACGAATGCGTCTTTCCTAAACTCGCTTGAAATCAACTGCAAAACGATGACGAAGCTAAGTAGACTCACTGTCACGCTAGGCTGACTCGACTTCACAACAGAACCAGAGGTGCGTTGTGGGCGGACCACTTGAACAGACGCAACTAGCATTGCAGCAGACGAAACGTTAAGCGTTTTTCACTTAATACTGTACTCTTATTTCCATAAATAAATAATTCGTACTTTCGAGAAGAAAAGAGCATGTTTGTTTTCCAGCGTTGTAAAAATATAATTCATTAAACCTTGATTGCAAATCTAGAATGCAATGTCAGAGAAATGCATGCCCTGATGATTAAATCTGTCCTGGTTTCATTTTTGCTGCCTCATCACAAAAACTTTTTTGCTATGAAGTTTACCTACAAACAAATAAAGCAAGTTTCAAATAAATTGAAGTTCATATCAGTTTGTTTTACAGGCGAAAAAGAAGCGTCGCGGATTTCAAGAACGTATATCGTCTCAAGCGGATCCGTATATCGTCTCAAGCGGAACGTATATCGTCTCAAGCCTGTACTTCCTATGATTCCCATGGGGGTACAGGCGCTGCTGAAGGAGCCACGTAACCCTAGCGCCAGATTCCCCTGTTAATTATTATTGTATGAAACTATATTCTACAGCAGAATCGTTAAGGTAAAAGCCCAAGGCGCATGATTCTTCCCACTGCGAGGATAAGCGCGCGCACGCATGGCCGTCTACCCCCACCCCTACGCTGGCCAAAGTACGCGTGGGAGATGAACGCATTATCGCGCGTCACTGCGTCGTGACGATCTGGTGACGGGCGCTCATTGCGCATTCTCGCTCGCAGTGCTGAAAACACGATAGCTCCCCCTATTTCGCCGTCGGCAGCGGCAAGTGGTAGATATTGATACGTGTATGGAATTGTCGCTCCAGCACAAGCACTGAAATGACATCCAAAAGGAGGAAGATGACAATGTGCTTGTTGTGGGTTGGACTCTCAAGCTCCCCCGTTGGCCTGCATGACAGTGCGCTCTGTACAGAATTTGTAAAACCTGCTGTCGACGAATAAATCTTCACCGTCACATCTTTTGGTGGAAGGTGTGGCGTGTTCTCGCAACCCGGCTCTGGAACTCCGCAGTGGACGCCACCTTTGTCCAGCTGCAATGCCTGAAACCGGCACTCGGACCTCGCAATACTCGCCGGCTCCATCTCCTGTGATTCCACCCCATTTTCTCGACCCTGGAACGTTTTCCGGTACGAACAGCACAGATATCGAAGAATGTCTCGCATTATTCGAGCGCGTCAGCAAGCGCTGCAGCTTGGACGAGAGGCTTATGCTGGCAAATATTCTTTTCTACCTGCGGGGTACGGCACGCGCCAGGTATTAGACGCATGAAGAGGATTTAACCAGCTGGGACGTGTGCAAGCAGAAGCTCCGCGACTTGTTCGGTCGGTATGTTGCACGCCAGGCAGGAACTCACTTCACGTGTTCAATCATCGACGGAGTCGTACGACGCGTACATCCAAGACGTACTGGCACTGTGCTGGAAGACTGGCAAAGGCATGAAGATCAGCAACGTATTGAAAGGCATCACTGACGATGCTGTCAACATACTTATGTGTAAGAACTGCACCACTGTCGACTCCATCATATCCGAATGCCGACGATTTCATCAGGCTAAAGCCAGGCGAATAACCCATCGCTTCACAAGACTTCTGAACACCGCTGCGACTTCTTCCTGCGAGGATTCTACAACGCCCCGTTCACTTGCCCCTCCTGCCAATATCGAAAGGATTGTTCGCCAGGAGCTGGAGGCCATGGCACTCGCTTTCTATCAGCCCTCTGCGCAAGACAGTCTCGCTTATTCAAGCCGTCGTACATCAGGAGTTTGCCAACCTGGGCGAACAGGTTCCCCAGCCCAGCAGGCACGTGCCGCAGCCCATGAGCACTCCCGTCCTCAACGCTGACCACGACGCTGCTCCACTTGTCGCTGCGGCAGCTTCGGCTCCACGGTTTCCACCACGCTACCGAAATACATCTGAGTGGCGCACACAAGACGACCAGCCCATCTGCTTCTCTTGTTCTCGTGTTAGGCACATCTTCCGTCATTGCCGCCACAGATGGTATTCCCAGCCAAGCCTTCCCAATGACCGCCTTCAGGATCGTGAACACTATTCGCAACCCGTTTTTCCGGATGACCACCTTTAGGAGCCTTCACCTCGCCGTTCATCTCCACACTCCCGGAGAACTGTCGTACGCTGACGTCGTCGCCCAAAGAAACTGGTCTTGCCGCTCGCCGTCCCCTCAGGGTCGGCCGTCACGCTCCTCTCAACGCCGCCGCTCTCCGTCACCGGCTTATTCTGCCCATTCCCCGGGAAACTGACGAGTGCAGCTCCTGGAGGTGGCGCTGCGTTGACGACTCGGAACTAAAACCCTCAACCGGCTACAAATTCAAGACGCAATTTACTTCGGGTGTTCGTTGATGACCACGCCGTTACTGCTCAAATTGACACTGGTGCCCAAGTATCTGTTATGAGTTCTACACTTCGATCTCGCCTGAAAAAGGTTCTCACACCAGCTATGTTCTCAACTCTTCGAGTGGCCAACGGAAGCCCAACATCGGTGCTTGGCATGTGCACTGCACGCATTACTGTTGCCGGCCACCACACTTCCGTTCTCCTCGCAGTCCGCGATGCTTGCCCACACGACGTCATCCTCGGAATTGACTTCTCAATCGCCCACTCCGCCCTCATCAATCGTTCTACCGGCATCTTACGGCCTGAGTTGCCTTTGTGCACCAATTTCAATCCTCTAAGTCGCACTCACCTACGATTCGTGGAGTCTCTGCAGCTACTGCCTCAGGCTGCTATGTACGTTCCTATGTCACCCTTTTCGTCCGTTCCTGATGGAGACTATCTGGTGGCTCCCCTAATTGATCTGATCCTTACACAACACGTCGCACTACCACATACCATAGTGCTAGTTACTAACAGCATGACGCTACTTCCATTTCTAAAGTTCTATACGTCGACCCAAGTTCCTCCTCAAGGCATCACTTTAGCCGAACTTTCCACCCTAAATGAATGTACGATTTCCTCTTTTACCCCTGAGACTAAGACCTTGGCGAAACCTGTCATCACCCCGCAATATAAGACGTTCCTCCACAAAATGATATCCAGCGACCTCTTACCTTCCCAAGTTGCAGCACTCGAGGATGTTTTATTTTCTTACCTGGATATCTTTGACGTCGAAGACCGCCCCCTGGGCCGCGCAAGCACCGTATCCCACCGCATCGACACCGGCGACGCCAGTCCACTTCACAAACGCCCTTACCGTGTACCTCATGCTGAGCGCCAAGTCATTCAAAGGGAGTGCGAGAAAATGCTCAGCAAAGACATCATTGAGCCTTCATCGAGTCCTTGGGCGTTTCCCGTTGACTTAGTTAAAAAGAAGGACAACAGCTGGCGCTTTTGCGTCGACTATCGCCACCTGAATTGGATCACCAAGAAGCACGTTTATCTTCTGCCCTCAATCGATGATGCGCTCGACTGCCTCTACAGTCCCAAGTATTTCTCGTCCCTTGACATTCGATCCGGATACTTGCAAATTTCGGTCGACGACCGCAACCGCGAGAAGACAGCATTCATCACACCTGACGGCCTTTACCAATTCAAGGTCATGCCTTTTGGGTTGTGGAAGGCTCCGGCTACTTTTGAACGTATGATGGACTCTCTTCTGTGTGGTTTCAAATGATCGACTGGCCTTTGCTATCTGGATGATGTAATCGTTTTCTCGCCTTGCTTTGAAAGTCTCGTCTTCCGGCAATTCTTGTCGTTTTTCGTTGCGCTGGCCTCCAACTCAATTTGTCGATATGTGCATTTGGACGCTGGCAGATTAAGCTACTTAGCCACCATGTTGACGCCGCTG